GCAAAAACGTTTCAATACATTTACACGTGTTGTCATCAGATGAAATAATGAGGGAATAAAAAGGAAAACTATGAAACCTTTTTACAGCCCCTAGTTCGTCGTTAAAGTCTTACAATGTTATTTATGTTTTTCAAGTTACGATGTGAAGTTCGACCTGGTTTTACTGCTCATCAACCTCCTATAGCCGGCTTACCGTCACGAAGTCCTAGTCAATTTATAGGAATTGAGGTGAGGATGCATCATTGTATTGAAAGTCATTGCTGTATTACAGAAGACTGTTATATGACAATTGATAGCAATTCATGTAGCTAATTCACGGGTTGCCTCATGTAGTGGCGGCTTCAGCCTCCCTAGACTGGCAGACTGACTTGAATGGAGTGGGGCCGTGGGCGGGGGAGAACCGATGAGATTGAGATTCAAAATTTGGCAGCTCTGAGGAAATTCATCGAGAAAAGTTTGCAAGGTAGAATTGTTTTGGTCATTCAAACAACATTTTGATCTAAATCTTATTAAAATCATATATTTCATTGTTTAAGAAATGAAGTGAAGTGAAGTGACCCCATTCTGTATACTCAATGGCGCTGCCACTGATCGTCTGAAACTTTGACATGTTTCTACCGCGTTTTACTTAATCCTCAAATGTCAAGTGATTGTCAAAGAAGCGAATATTTATGAGATTTGAAATTCAAAATATACTAGATTTTATTGTATAGTTATATTTGTATTATGTATGCTATTTTAGGTCTGGAACAGTGTGATAACCATCAGCGAGGGTGGAACAGCGACAATTTATATTAGACCATCAGTGGAAATTGGATGTCGAGAGAAAGAGGGATGTGAACTATCTGTTACTGCTGATATACCAAATGTAGAGGAAAATGAAAAACAGTGTCAACCGACAGCAGTAGCAAATGGTGGCTGTGGTGTCATTATTAAGACTAAAAACTGGAACGTGAACAGAAGTTTAGAAATATCATCAACAACTACTGAAGAATTCGGTCAGGATTCTATACAACTGAAAATATTTCTTCGAACCGACGACGCATACTTTTCGCAACCGCTCTGGGCTAATTATTTTCTTACTCCGGTTACGGTAGGTTAGAATCCATCACGAAAATGATAACATCTTTTTAATTTTGTTCATATTAATTATGTATGATTAAGGTATAAATTATTGCATTACCGTTACAAATAAACAAGAATAGACATGGAAATACGGCAACAAATAGCTATAACCAGATTTCAAAATGTCTATTTTTGTGTTGTTTCTTTTTTTTACTCAGATCGGATTGGGTATAATTACAGCTATATTTTAATATTAAAAATAGTGTCTACAATGTTTTAATGGTAAGTATGGTGTAAAAGTAAACGTAAGTTGACTAAACCCTTCGATTGATTATTTCAGATCAATATACAGAAGGATACAACCATGATTGAAGGCCGAAAATGCTCTGCTACCGGCGACCCTCATATTCGTGATTTTAATAAAAGGTGAGAGAAATGTGGCTTTAAACACCCGGAAATTACTGTTACAACAATGACTGGCAAGTGATTGCAGATACATTATCTACCAGAGTGATTATTATATATGATGCTCATGTTTTGGACATGTGTTATCTGTCTATTTGCACCTTTCCTGTAAGGTTGTTGGTATTGACTCATGACAAATACTGTGTTTAATATAACCTAAGAAAGACACAGCGTGCTACCAGGCCTCTGCTAACAAATATCATTGTATAGGGACAATACAAAGTCTTATGTATCTGGTGCTGTTCCGTCATTTTTTGTCTTCTCTCTTTCAGTGGATATAAGAATCTTATCGTTTTATTCTAATCAAAATTGACCCTGGTAGTCATCACTATCCTCAAGTTTCAAGTTTTCATTACCCTCGTTTACTTTCATTGTAGAAATCTCGAATTACAACTCCAGGGTACCTATACGTTTTATAAAAGTGAGGGAAATGTTGAGGTATGAAAACATTTATTTTAAAAAGTCGATCAACGGCATATCCCTGTTTCCACTGTCTTTGATGCAGGTCTTTGATGAGAGCATTCGGAAAATCGTCTAGTCGTTCAGATGGGCCAGTTTAGCGTGGGCAAATGCCCTTTCATTTGGTTGTATATGATATCACTTTTCGTCATTCGCCCAATTAAGGGTAGAAAAAGGAGTCAGCGTTTGATATCATTATTATTTTTTTTAAAACAGTTTATTCTAATTGAAAAGGTTCAAACCCAGACAGAAGATTGTTCAGGAAAGGGAACGGCATATTGTAATTGTGGTGTTGTAGTAAGAGTTGGAAGAACTGCCTTTATGATCAACCACTGTAACCTAGGCTACTGGTATATTGACTATATATTATGTGACGATGGTGCAAACATTTTGGATGTCAGGAAACGACGTGAAACATATTTTCAGGTATGTCGATTACGGTATTTATTAACCTTGCTTGTTTGAAGCAATTGGTGGACATTCTGGCATTCCGGTTAACTAACCTCTTCTACCTGCATCATAGTGATATGTGTTAGTATAGAGACATACAGAATTCTTTAACGTATTGTTTTCGATGAAAATGACATCTCGACAAAATGTTATTTTGCACACTTAAAAGTTTTCATAGCTATCATAATCTTTTACTTTGTGTTTAACCACCCTAATCCATTTTGTTTCTGATTCCGGGGTCGATGTCTCGTTAACACGTGCGATACTATTACACATGTCTTCCGTGTTTCATGTAGCAAGAAAACTTCATAGTAGTGACCGAGGTAATTAATGACTTCAAACCAGCCAATCAACGCGCTTTCATATAGTCTTTATACGGTTTGTTTTGTAAACATGTAAAGGTATCCATAACAAGATTTTTGACTGGTACATAGTTAGTTATATTGGTGCTAATTAATGCATTTCATTTTCAGATGTATTTGCCTAGTTGAACGAAAATTAATATTTCTCTCAAAAAGTATAGAGGCCATGATTTGTTAGATATTGATATATTTCCATCAATAAGAGATGTTGATAAAACGTCTGGTCTATGTAAAGAAATTAACGCGCACTTAAATAAGAATGATGACTTGGTAGAGGATATCCAATTTATAAACCGGTGGAGGTAAGAAATACAATGGAATGCATTAAGGTGCAATAGCACCGAAAATACATACAATTTATCTAATACAAACCAAACTAATTAAAACACGACAAAATAAATATCACAGAAGTGGTGAGGCATTTAAAGCTAAACGTTAAACTAAATGGTTCAAAATAAACAAAAAGTTTAAACAAATCTATAACAAAGTATATTTTAGCCTGTTGTAAGAAAGCAACAAACTTCTCCTTAAGACAATGTTAAAGGGATTGTTTTCTAAAATAAATATGCGTATCGGGGACACTGATAGCATCAATTTGTATCATTCCAATTTTCAATCAGACGTCTGTGGTTCCTGCAATTCTACTAAAACTGCGTGTTTTATAACTTTACTTGTATCACATAATAAGATCTTTTCGGGGTGACGTCATAAAACAAAACCAAAGACAAATTGATGCTTTCATTGTCCCAGATACACATACAAAATATAGAAAACTCCTTTACTGTCCCTTTAAGACAAAGTGCTATGATCGCAGAGGTTTGAATGTCTTTCACTATCAGGCTGACCTGGTAGTGCTCACAGACTGGTTAAGGCTCTCTCTAGTAGATAAGACTTGATAAGGTGAGTATGACTGAGACGAGAGCGACTCGCTGGCACAATAAACTACTGTTCCCATGTATTCAAAAATTTAAATCATCCGGCTGAAAACCTCTCGACCAAGCCTACTGCTTTCTTGCCTTATTCATATAATGTGTCTTCTATGTGCACGAAAAAGCGATAACTTAATTTTATAACGATTACATGTCCACGCTTTGCATTCTGGGCACTACAGGCTGTTATTATGAATAATCTACACTGTGGTTGTATTCCACGAGAACTGATGATCAAAGACTTCTGACGTCCTGCCGATATTGACTCGTGTTTCTTCTGAAATTTTCAGAGTTAAAAATGAACAAAATATGTTTATACCAGAGGACTATGACTCTATTGAGGGGATAGATACTTCGGGAACATTTCAACATTGTCGTTGTAATGACCATAATGCTACTAAAATTGTTGGAAAGCTCATCTGTACTCCCATCAATGGTGTCACACCTTGTGTACAGGATACAGATTATACCATGTTCCATACAAAGAGGTGTATATCACCTTTGCGAAGAAAACGGTCTGTACCAGGTTTTTCGCAATCCAATATCACAAGACACAAACGGCTGAAAAGGGTAAGATATTAAAAGTTGTGATACTTTCATCGTGTCCATTCGTCATACTCCCTCGACTCGAGTTCATACGATTAACTCACAATAAATGTCCACGAATTCCACATATACAGCAAGGGCGTCTGTTATTGAAAAGATAATCTACTTCGTAGAATATTATGTGAAATGCATAAAATTTTTGTCAGATAATGGATGGCAAAATATAAAACAAAACACCCAGAAATTATTTGTTATCAAATAGATGTTTAAATAAATAATATCCGCCATTAGAACTCATCGAAAGAGATGTAATGTGTTCCGGAAAGTGCGTTTATTAACGTCTTTGGACTCAGTAGCTTTAAGCTGATAATATAAACAATGAGAATCTAGCTATTATTTCCGCAACTTTGAA